GGACAGCCTCGTGCGCTAGAGAGCGACACGAGCAGGGGGCCGACAGCTGACCTGACGCAGACGCAGCTACCTGAGGGGACTCAGTGGTCAGTGTGTACAGGTCCGACCCCGGCTGCCTAGTGAAGGTAGCCAGGTGACGGCCCGTTCGAGCACACGTGTAGTGTGTCACGCGCTCGAAGGCAGGGGTGAACTGGTGGACACCCCCGTCCTGGAGCGCACGACCCGCCACCAAGTTCGTAGAGAACGAGGGGAGGTAGAGACCTGACAGTGTGCCCGACGGGACCGCAGGACAAGGAAGGACAGTGGAGGAGGTCGCAATGACCGGACCCCCAGAGGGGTCAGCGAGGGAGACAGCAACCGGCCGAGCAAGCTGCTCTAGGGCAGTGCGGTCACGAAAGAAACAGCGAGAAGCACCTGAGTCCAGTGTGAAGGTGTGCAGTGCCTCAGTAGACGCAGTACCAGAGGGCGCAGACTCACGAGCACCTAGAGCAGCAGCCTCACCAGCACCTGGGGCAGCAGACACGCGAGCACCTGGAGCGGCAGTCTCACCAGCACCTGGGGCAACAGACACACTGGCACCTAGAGCTGCAGCCTCACTGGTCCTAATGCCCGGGTCAGGCGGGACACGCAGGTACTGGTCACTCTCTCCAATAATAGTCAATGCATACATAGCACCAAGGATAGCATCAAAGTCAAGAGCAAAGACATCAATATTCTTTTTCATCAGATCAGCCCAGCGGGGCAGCTCAGTGGCGTCAGGAAACTGTGCACGCCAGGCGTCGTCGAGACGAAAGAAGCAGCGGTGTGCCGTGTGGAACCTCCCACAGGTCTGGCCAGTGCGGTCACCTGTGCGGATAAGGTACGGGCAAGTACCTCCACCCCCAGACCCCCCACGCTGAGAGTACCACTCACGGAGCTGCTGGGAGGTCGGGGTCTCGCTGGGACGCTGCTGCTGCTGCCTCTGGCCACCACTGAACCCTCCACGCTGCTGCACCGCCCCACCGCGCCCGCCACCAGCTCCACCGCCGCCACCACTACCACCGCCACCCCCGCCACCCCCACTACCGCCGCCGCCACCACCCCCTCCTCCGCCACTGCCCCCCCCCCCACCAGCACCACTCCCACCACCGCCACCACCCCCGCCTCCTCCACCCCCTCCACTACCGCCGCCCCCGCCTCCACCTCCGCCACCCTTGCCCCCCTTGCCCTTGCCGCTCTTGCGCCTCCAACTAGGAGCAGACGCAGCCCCGAGCTCCTCAGCACCGAGGTAGTCGACAGCAGCAGCAGATGCAATGGAGGGGAGAAGGGGGACGGGGGAACACCCCTCAAAGTAGGGAGTGCGAGGGTCGCCACGAGAGGCACCTACAGCTACAATACTCTTCTCAGCTGCAAGGAGCTCCTTCTCGAGCAGGTCGACAGTGAGGTCGGTGGGTGAGAGAGCGAGAAAGTGGTCCCTGACAGTGCGAAGATTGTCAGGGAGGCGAGTGACTAGGTGGTAGAGGGTGAGGTACATCGGGGGAGGGTTCTTGGCTAGGAAATCGGGGGGGAGAGCGGCACGGTAGCGGAGGTCACTGGTACGGAGGTGAGTGATGAGGTCAGCTACAGTGGCAAAGGCGGACAGATCGGGGAAGAGGTAGGGCAGTGAGAGACGGCCTATCGCAGCAGTGGCAGGGGAGGAGTAGCGCGCAACTACTGCATCGTACATCTCCTTAGCAGTCTTATGCTGGCCGAAGTGTTCGCGCTCATCTAACGGCAGGTGGCTGCGAACGGCTAGGCGAGCGTGAGCATCACGGGTCTGCCACTGGGAGCGAGCAGTACTGTCAGCAGTAGTGGCAGGTGCGGGAGTGGCGCCTGACGTGTGGTCATACAGGGAGACATCGTCCTTGGCAGTGATCTGGAGGAACAGGTGGAGGTCATCTAACCAAACCTCAAACTTAATCGGGCGGCCCTCAGCGTTAAAGGTGAGAACAGAGGGAGTGGCCATAGTGGCAGTAGCAGCAGTAGGAGCAGTAGCAGTAGCAGGAACAGTGGCAGCTGAAGCAGCAGTACGGCAGGAACAGGAACAGGAGTTGCTGCAGGTGAGGCACAGTAGGGCGGCTCGGCTCGGCCAGGGCGGCGCGGCTCGGTTCGGGCGGCGCGGCTCGGTTCGGGCGGTGCGGCTCGGTTCGGGCGGCGCGGTTCGGCTCGGGCTGGGCTACGCGGCAGTGCGCGACGGGGGGCGTGCACGTGGGCGGCTGTAGCGGGCGGGCCGTGGCTGTGCGTGGGCCTGACTAGCGCGTGAGCGGCGGCCTAGAGGGCGACGCGGCGGCCTACGGGCGGGGCTGCCGGTCGCTAGCGGGCTACGCGCGGCCAGGAGGGCCGGTCGACGGGCTGCTCGTGGCGGCGTGGGCGGCTAACGGGCGGCGCGCGCTCAGAAACGGCCGCGCGCGGGCTGCTAGGGGGCGACGCGCGGGAAAAAAAAAGGCCGCGCGCGGTACTAGCGAGCCGCGCACAGGCAGCAGGAGAAGACGAGGCGCACGAGGGTGCACTAGGAGAACGGCGCTCGAGGGCGCTAGGTCGATATGGCGCTCGAGGGCGCTTCTAACGGTGGGCCCTTAGGTGAGTCCTAGGTCTAGAACCTAAGCTCTTAATACCATGTTAAGAATGAGAAGTGTGTTGACTAGAAACAAGAGAGGGTACGAATATGAAACCCTAGAATTGTGAACCCCCTAAAGGCTAACCCACTGTAGCCTACAATAATGTAACCCATATAATGTTTGACAGGCTTCTCACCATTTTTCATTGTCTGGTCCTAGTAGGGCCCGACGTACGGTCGTGGGCTCCCTTGGAGTGGAAGACAGGCGAACGGCGATAGCGAGTCCAAGGATGCGACGTTAGAGGTGAGGTCAGCGAGTCCGTCCAGGTCGTGGGTGCTGGTAACTTCAATAACGTCGTTGTCCGCGTTGTGGCAAATGGTGTCACGCGAGCTGTTGGGAGCGGGTAACTCGGCGTCGGGGGATTGGCACGCTTCACTTGTGTAGTTGTGAGCTTCTCGGGTTATATCGTAAGGGTCATGTTGAGAGATGGGAATGAAGTTTGGAGTTCGCAGTGGGCTTGTAAGGGGGGTAATGTTCGTCGGGTTGGACGTCGGGTGCGTCTTCTGCCATGTCACCTTCGTCTTGTGATGTGGCGAAACTGTGTTGGCCAGTGAAAATGTTCTTTGGTGCCTCTTGTGTTTCGTGATGATGCTTGAAGAGTGGCAATGTCAGCCTTTCGTTGAATATTCAGTCATGCAATTTTATCACTTCATGGGTCGCGTAGTCCAGGATGATCTAGGCCTTGATTCCTTAGAGATTCCGAGGTGAATTCCCCAGTGCGCTCAGTCCGTAAAAATTCCAGTTCGGGCAGTGTGAGGGTAGTACTGTACCGTGCATAGGATGACTCGGAGCAGGCGAGTGTTAGCAGTTCTGCCTTTCCAGGCCTTGTGCGGGGAGATGTTGTTTGGGAGGCTCCGAGAGGACAGCATGTTGTGCAGTTGCACGGCGTAGTTCATCGTGAAGGGCCAGTATGTTGTGGGAATGGCAGACTGCTTCATCAGGGCCCACATCTTTGTGGCGAGGCTTCTGTTTGTCCGTTCTTCTACGCCTTGTTGCTCGTGTGCGTAAGGCAGGGAGATCAGGTGCTCAATCCCAAGTGTTGAAGTGGTCCTTGAACTCCTTGGCGAAGTACTCGAGGCCTCCGTCAGTTTGGAGCTTGAGTCCTGACTGGCGTTCAGCCTTTTTTATCCATACGACGAGCATTCGAAGGTGCGCAATCGTAGGTCGACGTCGACGGTCCAGACGAAGTGGGTACTGGCATCGATGAAAATCATCATATACTACACGTCGTCGAGTCGTCCCTTGTTGAGGACTAGAACCTCATTGTAGATTTTGTCGAGGGGCGCGTAGAGTAGTGATCCTGGGACTTGTTTCAATAACGGTTGGTGAGCTAGGGGAACTTCGGGGCAGACGGTGCATGCTCCTTGATATTTATGCTTGCATGTGAACTAGGAGCTCTGATAGGTATGACTGTACGGATGCAATTTATAGATGCACGCTTTTGGCGTCCCACTCACACAGCTCCACCACTATCACTTCCATCTCCCTGTGCGCTTTAGCTGCAGGTTGGGTGTGCACATAGGTGGTTGCCAGAGCGACGAAGTTGCAACCACAAGCAGGGGGACTGCCGGATCCCACTAGTGGCAGGTCCGTTTCATGATAGTCCCCCACTTTGGCTCCCATTACCGCCCTTACCAACCTCACTCATTCGCCCGTTCCTCTGTGCCGCCGCACCCCCTCCCCTGTCACATGCAGCTCCCCCTTGCCTCTCTTCTTCCCCGCATTTGTTGTCCCTCCCATATCTGACCTTTGGTGGAACACTAGCACTGGGGGCATAGCAACACCGAAGGCGCCATGCATCGTCTCTTCCATATCTCTGCTTTCCCTCACATCCCTGCCTTCCCCACCTTTCACTTTCTTATCTTCCCAACATTTTTCAGCCCCGTTCTGCTTCTTCTTCTCATCCCCAAACCCTCACCTCCTCTTCCCCATTTTCTCCACATACCGGCTTCCCTAGCCTTTTTTTTGTTCCTCTCCCACTTCCTCCTTTCCACAATCTCGCTATGCACTGCTTTCCATTCATGCTCTAGTTCCACCTCCTCCTTTCCCCATGTTTTCGTTTCCTCCGTCTTTTGCTTCCTTGCTTCCCCACTTCATCTCCTCTTTGCCCCAATCCCCTCTTGTCAACTTACATGGTTTTTTCCACTCACTCCCGTACTCTCTCTCTTAGCCCCCCCACTGCCTCTCACACCCCACATTGACAATGCTGAAGGTTGACATGTGCATATATTTGCACGTAAATCACTCGCTACTAGCCACCAGTAAATGCCATTTGCAATGGTTCTGTTTCAGATCCATAGCGGAATATTCCTTCCAAAATACTACTCCAGTGTGAAGTGTATTTTGCACCGCCGCTGAATCGATTCACTCCATGAAGTCCTGAACGCTCATGCTGTTGCCTCCACCGAGCACATCAAATACAGGGTGGTGCACCTGCTGCTGCTGCTGCTGCTGCTGCTGCTCGTGGTGCGGCAATGAACCGTCACTGCTACTGCTTCTCTGACAGCGTCTTGCAAGGGCCAAAACAGTGTCTACCGGAGACGGCATAACCAGCAGCTGCGGCTTATCTGCCCGCCCCCGGTGTTCAGCCTCCTGCTCTTCTGTTGACGGTGCAGCATCTGCAGCCACACACGGCCCCGCTGGGAGCAATTGCTGCTCGGCTACGTTGCTGCACCTGGAGGGGGGCGAGATGCGGAAATCCCAACTGCTCACAAGCGCAAGGGCGTGTGGAGGGGCGAGCGGAGGGCCATGTGGAGGGGTGTGCGCAGAGGTGTGCAGAGGGTTTTGCTGAGGGTTGTGCAGAGAGGTGTGCAGAGGATGGACGTGCAGAGAGGTGTGCAGAGGATGGACGTGCAGAGAGGTGTGCAGAGGATGGACGTGCAGAGAGGTGTGTAGAGGGGTGTCCAGAGAGGGGTGTGGATGGGCGTGCAGAGAGGTGTGTGGATGCGCTTGCAGAGAGGTGTGCAGAGGGGTGTGCAGAGGGGTGTGCAGAGAAGGGTGTGGAAGGGCGCCTGCAGGTGCATGCCGAGGAGGACTTGCAGAGGTGTGTGGAGCGGTGTGTGAAGGGGCATGTGAATCATCCTCCCCGTCAGTATCACTCAGGGCATGTGAAGCAGCCTCCTCCTGGGCCTCGGCAAAAATCTTCGCGAGCCTTGGAGAAAGCGTCCTGGCCTTGCTCAGCTTTCTGGACGCTGCTGCTGTTGCTGCTGTTTCTGATGTTGCTCCCGCTGCTGCTGCCTTCTCAACCCGCGCCGCTTGCCGCTTGTGGCGCCGTGGGGGAGGCCCGCGCTCCTGGTGGTTGTGGTCATGATGGTACACCGTGACCACTGTGAGCTCGTGGCAGGTTGCAACTGAGTGGCAGACTGAGCCTGGTCGGTAGACTGGGACTGAGTGGCAGACAGGGGTGCTGCTGGCGGTGTAGGCTGGTATTGCGTTTTCAGCAGATGCTACTATGGCGTCCAGCGTTCCACTGCAGTTGTCGAACCCATGGACTTTGGTGGATGGAAGGTGAGCACTACTAGTGGTGCTAGTGCGTGGAGGGCCGTAGTCGACGGTTTTCCTGGCAGGGCAGGCGCTTGGGCGCTTGTACCAGGCGCATCTGTAGTAGCACCTGCATGTGAGGATGAAGAATAGAGAAACACGTGATCGGGGGAATGGAATGCGAGATCAGAAAAACATGCGAGAGGGGAATGGAATGTGGGAAGGAAGAGTGCCTCAGGCAGGGATCGTGGACCAAACGCACCTGTTGTCCTCCTACAGTATGGGGGTAAAAGAGATCAGAGAAACATGTGAGACAGGAATGAAGTGTGGGAATGGAATGTGGGAATGAAGAGTGGTGCCTCAGGGATCGTTTGGCAAACGCACCTGCTCTCCTCGAACCTACATTAGGGGGGTAAAGGGATAAGAAAACCATTTTCGGATGGAATGTGGGAATGAGGAATAACTCAGGCTGCAATTATCTTGACCAACGCAACATTCACCTAGCACCAACGTGAGGAGGATAAACACATGTGAGGGGGAAATAAAATGTGGAAATTAGGAGTTGAACTCAGGCTTCAAATATGAACCAGGCGCACCTTCTGTTCTATAACCTGCGGGTGGGGATGAAGATGTAAGAGGTGAGAAGGAAATATTGTGAGAATGAGGAATGCGGTTTCAGGTTTAGGTTTCAGGCTTTAGGATCCGTGTGGCTCCCTGGCAGGTTCAGAGGGCACTTGGGATGGTTTCTTATTCTTGAAATACAGAATCACATTGGAGAGGCAGTAGACGTGGAAAGCAATTGCCGCTTCAGGCCGGCTATGTGCACAGGTACTACCTGTAGTACCCAGGGATGCTGCAGAGAAATATGTCAGAGAGGTTCATTTATTTATCTCTTCAACCTGATCTAAAAAAGACGTGACGAGAAAGCTTCAGCACCTGACGTGGTTCCCGATATCTTTGCTGCCGTACTTGAGCCACGTGTGGCCGTCTCCGTTCACCGCTGCTGCCGGCAGCCTGTTATCTGTACTGACAACAGATGTGACGTGATGGTTGGCGGCCATGGCATTGACAAGACAGATAGTATCTGCTGCAGCAACGTCAGGTTCAGGCTGAACGCTTGAGCCCATCACTACTTCTATGTTGCACATCGCGGAAAATGTTGGCGCTAAAAGAAAGTGAGAAAGAAGCTGGATCTGGATATCGATGGGTGGTGTTGCAGCTACTAGCACTAGCAGTAAGGAATGGATGAGACACCAGAATCCTGGTTCTAAGTGTGGAATGATGAACTTATTGGATGGATTTGTTGTCAAATTGATGGATGTTGTTGAAGCGAAGCACGAATACGAGGAATGCGAATTGTTACCCTACCAAATCTGTGCTTGGTTCTTGCAATATCGCAATCTCCTCGTGACTGTTTGTTCGCCGTCGTGCACCCTGGTGTAGCCTCGTGTGCAAGCGTGGGCCCTCGTTGTCATGGCGTGACGACGTTACAGTGGTTGTTGCACTGACTGGGGCGGCACACTCCATCGGATTCTTTTTCCGAGCTGGCGCCAGCAAGTGAAAGCAAGCGAAGCCGTCCTTCACCCCGCGAAGTTCTCTTGTCTCTCGTGGTCTGTTACCAGCCTAACAAAATCTCCTCTGTCTCTCGTGGTCTGTTACCAGCCTAACAAAACCTCCTCTGTCTCTCGTGGTCCACAACACAGTTACAAAAATTGTTTGCTGCTTTGATAGCACAAAACTTGGATGTGGGTCCAAAACGTGCAGACATCTGCTTTTTAGGGGCTATTCTGCATTCGTTAAAAAACGCATTAAGTGCGGTGTTCGGGTCTGTTTGAATACCTGCGCCTTATTAGCGAGGGCCTGTGTTTACACCTAGTCAACAATAAATTTAAACCCCGACTTTCAAACTCGCGGGTCACTCTCGGATTATATACACCAAAGGTTTGTAAAATGGGAAGGTTTAGGACACCTCATGCGAGTGGAAAGAGGATCGCAACGGAAAAACTGGCCCGCACGAGTTGATAGTGTGTCTGATGAAAATGTGGGAAATAGTGACTCTGATCAGGGGAGCATAAGTACATATTCCCTTGCTTCTGGGTGTCTGTTTGATAAAGCCAACAATGTCCTGGGTGCCCCTGAATAACGCTTGAGGACTTGGGATTTTCGGTGACTAAAGTGTAACGGCATTGTTCTAGAATATCTTTGGCTCCAACCCAGCTTGTGACTCCAATCTTGATGGTTGCTCCCCGACCTAGGACCCTTCGTCCAATAGCGGAAATTGGAGCCACGTTGTCGCCCAAGCAGAACTTTGTCGTTTCTCCCTTGTCGTTTGGCAGCATCGGGTCGGTCGGAGCACGACCGATGGCCCGAACGAAATGGGATCACGGTTGCCAAAGGGATGTGTTCTCTGACAATAATACAAATGATGCTCATTAGGGGAACACCAGCTTTCCTTATAAATTTGAGACAAGCTAAACCTTTTCGCCTCCTTCACAACCTTCATCACAAGAAATTAATAAAATTGTAAGCTGACAACTGGTAACCCTTTCAAATATCTGACAAATGGACGGATGATCGGCGGCTGCGATCAACATACGGGACTAGATTCTAAGTGTCGTTGCCTGCGCTTAGTTGCAAAAGAGACAAACAAGGTGGATTTTGTGTGAACGTCCACATATATAGTCATATATGTACTTTCTAGGCTAGGATGAGTTCCACAATAGAGGGTATGGGTTGTTATTAATACCCCCCTTATATGCCCTCATGAGTCATTCATTCAGTTCTTCAAATGGTATCAGTTTGGGTTAGGTTTCTCGATTCCGCCCCGCCTACCTCCCTAGCTGCCAATGTGCACTCACGGCCCCCTCTAGTGGCCCCCCTATAGCGGCCACCTCTAGCGCCCTCAAACGCCATCCAGTTGCCCCCTCTAGTCTTAAGAAACGTACACAACAGAATGATTGAACTAGGGAAGCAAGTGATACAAATAGCAACCCTAAAAGTGTTGTACTCCCTAGAGTGCTACTCACTGTAGCCTAAGAACCTATAACAACATTTGACACACCCCCATAGGCTAACTGAGGGGCATCAAAGCAAGCAGGGTGAACAAACGGTCACAAGACCAGTCAATGCAATAAGAAAAGCAAGCTCAGGGTGGATCTCAAGGACACCACACAAATTCCGAGCACAAGCAAGCGGCCACAAGGCCAGTTCAAGAGTTCACTAGGATATATATAGCAAAGCACAACAAGCAGGGCAAACAGCAAGTCTACAGCAACCGAGGGCCTACCTCAACAAGCCCCAACTGCACACAGAACCTGTGTTGGTCACCAGGCGCCAAGGCCTTGGTGAAGACGTCGGCAGTGTTGGCCTCTGAGGCCACAAAGTCCAAGCGTGCCTGGCCGCGTCGCTGCAACTCTCGCAGGAGGAAGTACCTCACGTCAATATGCTTCACTCTGCTCTTCAGTCGAGGCTCTCGACACAGGAGGATAATGACCTTGTTGTCAGCGTACAAGGTCGGTGCAGAGCGAGGCCGCTCACCAAGGTCGGCGAGCAAGAAGGTCAACCAGCGAAGCTCCTGTGCCGCCATGGCACCAGCGTAGATCTCTGCCTCTGCACTGGACGAAGCCACAGATGACGACCGTGTGGACCTCCACGACACAGCGCCAGCACCCAGACTGAAGCAGTAACCCTGAGTCGAGCGCTGAGTCTCCACGTCGTCAGCGTAGGAATAGTCGCAGTGACCGGTCAACACAGCTGGTTGTGTCCCAACAAGCACAAGCCCCATGCCTGATGTAGTCGCCAGGTACTTCGCCACCCTCACAGCAGCTGTCCAGTGAACTGGACGGTGTCTCCCAGTCGCAACAAAGAGAGAGAGGACGCTGAGGGGAAAGGCGAGGTCCGGCCGAGTACAAGTCATCAGGTACATGAGGCAGCACACAAGCTCTGCGTAGGGGCCACCAGACTCAAAGGGCTCGTCGGGAAAAGGGCCAGTGAGTCGGTGGTCAACGGCAAGAGGAGTGGGCTGTATGGTGGAGAACTGAAACCCGAACCGCCGAAGGACCTGCTGCACCATGTGTGACTGAGTCAGTGTGATGGTGCGAGCGGCTCTGTCCCTGGTGAACTGCAGGCCAAGGTAGCGCTGCAGTTCACCGAGGTCAGTGCACTTGTGTCTCTTCTGCAGTTCGGATTTCACCTCAGTCAAAGCTGCCTTGTCTGCTGTAGCAAAGACCAAGTCGTCGACGTACACTAGTATAAAGAAAGGAGTGGAACCAGTGCGAACAAACAGCGACGGGTCGGCAGAGGAAGGACGAAACCCAAGGTCACGAAGCGTGGAGCGAAGAGTGTCGTGCCACTCACGGGGCGACTGGCGGAGACCGTAGACTGGCCGCCTCAGGCTCCACTGGGTCCCAGGTGGGAAGGTGTCAGTGAAGCCAGGAGGACGGCGCAGCCAGATCTCCTCGTGTAGTCGGCCCTGAAGAAACGCAGTGGAGAAGTCAAGGGAGTGCAGCTCGTAGTCTCGCTGTGCTGCTACGTGCAGTAACACCCGAAGAGTAGTCATCTTCGGGGTCGGGGCGAAGGTCTGGAAGAAGTCAACTCCCTCACGCTGACTGAAACTTCTAGCCACGTAGCGCGCCTTGAACACAGGCGGTGAACCAGGCGGCGGCTTCACCTTGAAGAGCCACATGCCATCGACAACGTTCGCCCTGGGAGGGGGAACTGCGTCGACGTAGGTGCCTGTGGATCTCCAAGACGCTAACTCTGCATCCATAGCCGCTTTCCACTGAGAGGCCCACTTCCCTGACACTGCCTCACGGTACATGCGAGGTGTCGGTATGTCAAGGGCGTCGGGGTCTCCCTCAAGGGAAAGCAGCATGGCGCAGAGAGAGGGGGAAGCGGCTGTCCACACGGCAGCTCAAACTGCCTGTCCTCTAGGACGTCACAGCCAAGGGCAGACTCACCCCCGACGGACAGAGGACCGGGAGGTGGAGCAGCCACCACACGCGTGGCGTAATCAAGATGGCGGGTGGAAGCAAAGTCATCGACAGCGGCAGTAAGATCTGAGACAGACGACGGAGAGGCACGAGGGTCGGTGACAAGAGAGGCGAGAACACGAGAGACAACAGGGCGAGCAGTACGGTAGTAGTCAGTGATAGGGTGAGAGGAAACTGTGAGAGATGACTCAGGAGGTGAGGGGAGAACAGACACAGGCGAAGAACGACGAGGAGGAGAACGAAACAAGACGGTGCGGAGGTCGGCAAGAGGAGACGAGGGCCGAGCACGTGGAGGACAACGAGTGGTCCAGTCGTGTCGGACAACAGGAGGAGGCGACTGTGACTGAGGAGGAGAGAAAACAGCCGGAGTCGAGTCCGGAGGAGGAAACGTAGGACCGTACGCTGTAGGAGATTGTGAGTGAACAGGAGGAGAGGAAGGAAGACCAAGGGCCCGAAGGCCACTCACTGGAGGGAACAGCTGCTGCAAAAGTGGCGGCTGTGGCGGCTGCTGCTGCTGCTGGTGGTCCAACTGCTGCAACTCCTGCCTCTCCTGCTCCAACTGCTCCTTCTCCTCGCGCTCAAGCCGGCGAAGGGCCTGGAAACGGGTGTCGTGGCGGCGGGGAGGCACAGTGGGCGACGCAGTAGGCGAGCCTCCAGCTCCCGTCTCCTCAGTACCAGCTCCTACAGCGCCAGCACCTCCTGCTCCAGCACCCCCAGAACTAGCACCGCCAGTGCCAGCACCTCTAGCTCCAGCACCCCCAGAACTAGCACCTCCAGGGCCAGCATCTCCAGCTCCAGCACCCCCAGAACTAGCACCTCCAGTGCCAGAACCTCCAGCGCCAGCACCCCCAGAGCTAGCGCCACCTGCGCCAGCACCTCCAGCTCCAGCACCCCTCGAACGAGCACCAGGGTGCTGGCGAGGGCGACGGGCTAGGGCTCGGGCGCTGGCGAATCCGCAGGCTAGGCGCGGAGGGCGCGGAGGGCGCTAGGGCGCTGAGGGCGCAGAGGGCGCCAGAGCCCACAGGGCGCGGAGGGCGCGGAGGGCGTTAGGGCGTGGAGGGATCTAGGGG